CTGTCTTCTGTATTCTGACTCTTACTATTTGATTGTGAACCATTTTACTTCGTTAGTTGTTTAGCTGTCAGATTGCAGGAGGCTGCACATGCACCAAGCCACACTTTGTATCTACTTTACGTGATCAGATGAATGATTGAGAGAAGTGATAATTCATTTGTTAATATGTTATGAATATTAGCACAACAGTTGGTCATTGACAAAACAGCAAGTATACAGCAGAGGTGGTAAGCTACACGACTTGGTATCGGCCAAAATCGAATAGGATTCAGTGGGTGTATCTTGTTGCCAAGACACCAGTTAATAATGCGAATTCGGAATTCAAACAATTCTGGACGCGTAAAGTGCTTTATCAATACTAAACAGAGGTTCAAATGCCAGGTAAGTTGCATATTGCGATTTCTCCTTTGTAATTGATAATCCAATGACTGTATTGTTTGTTACCTTGTGGCGTTTGACTTTCGTTGCCTTCGAGTTCCCGTATATCCTTGTCTTGATGATCGCAACGAGAGAACACGAGTCGTTGCCACAATTTCTTTATTATTCAAATTATTTAATGATCGATACAAATATCGGATTTAATTCAAATATGTATAGTCGATATTGACATCGAGTTATTCAAACTGTTAATCGATACAGCTAGTCAAATAACTATGTGTAGGTGGCAAGTAATGCCCAAGCGTACATGTGCATACTAGCTCAACAATGATAAAAGTATAAGATATTTGTGAGGTGCTACAATAGCTCCCTCCCAGCAAACAAGGATACAAAAGTGTCTGTGTTTGCGAAAAAAGAAATCATTCGAAAATATCAAAATTTCGCTAAAAACAAGGTTATCTTGTTTGCGTAAGTTTGAGTTCGTGTGTGTTTGTGAGCTTGAATAATAACAAAAAATCGAAAATCGAAATACACGAAAATTTCCGTTTTCCCAGCTTTATCAACTGTAATAGTTTTATCGTTTCTTTTAATTACTCTAAATGGACCATCGTAGGTCGGTTGTAAGGGACGTTGCACATTATCTCTTCTGGTAAATACATGGGTACTGTCGTTCAGTTGTTTCGGAATATATACCCGATGTTGATCTTTCTTCGGAACCGTTATTCTATGATCATTCATGTGTTCTTTTAGACGATGTACGTAGTTCGATATATCAGTTGGAACACTTTTACTTGAGGTGAAAAACTCTCCTGGTAGACGTAGAGTAGTTCCATAAACTAACTCTGCAGGGCAACATCCAATATCTTGTTTAATTGTCGATTTAAACTCAACATGACTATTGGAAGCTTGCTGACCCAATAATTATTGCTGATAACAGCTGTGAGAGATGCTTTCAGTTGTCGGTGTAATCTCTCTACCATACCATTTGCCATCGGATGGTAAGATGTTGTGTGTATACGTTTAATGCCGAGAAGTTCTGTAGGTTGTTGAAAAAAGCGACTTTCGAATTGGGCTCCTCTATCGGTTGTAATATTAGCAGGCACTCCATAATATGAGATCCAATGTTCAACTAAGGTTTTAGCTACGGGCTCTGCTGAAATATCTTTTATGGGCACTGCTACAGGCCGTCGCGTGAATCTGTCCATACAGGTAAAAATATAAGTGAAGCCATTTGAAATTGGCAGTGGTCCTACAATATCGATACGTATATGCTCGAACCGGCTGTCTGGATGATGCAAAGGACCTACTGCGGATCTTGTGTGACGAAGAACTTTAACTTTCTGGCGTTTTATGCATGCCTGTGTCCAGTTACAAACATCTCGGTCCATACTTGGCCATACAAAACGCTCGCTGATCAGACTGATCGTCACCTTAATTCCAGGATTTGATATATTATGCATAGTTTCGAAAACTTTTCGTCTAAACGGCTTTGGAATAAACGGTCGTGGTCGGCCTGTAGAAATACCACACATTAGGTTTACCTTGCCGAATGGAGTTTCTCGGAGTGCTAAAGAAGTTGTACTGGATGATCTTAGCCTGCTTAGCTCAACATCCATATTTTGCTACGCTGCGAGTTTGTGATAGTCACTGTCAGATTGGATGAGAGCATTGATCATCGTTCTTGATAATGCATCTGCTACTTCGTTATAATGACCTTTAATATATTGTATGCTAGACGTAAATTGAGAAATAAATTCCAGTTGTCGAATTTCCCTCGGTGAATAGTTGTCGTGCTTGGCGTTTAATGCTTTCGTGAGGGGTTTATGATCTATGTATACTGTGAAAATGGTGCCCTCAAGCATATGTCGAAAGTGCTTTATTGCCAAATAAATTGCTAGCAGTTCTCTTCAGAACGTACTGTATCTCGTTTGTGTGCGACTTAATCTTTTAGAAAAGAATGAAATTGGTTCCCATGTGTCGTTTACGAACTGCTGTAACACGGCTCCAACAGCGGTGTCCGACTCGTCAGTCATGACAGCTAATGGAGCTTCGTTTTTTCGTCGTACTAACATTGTCCTCTCATTTAGCACGCGCTTAGCGTTCTCGAACGCCTGTATGGCGTCTGCTGACAAGTGAAATTTTCGGGCACGTCCTCGCAAAGCGTCTGTTAACGACTGCAATATTGTTGCGCAATTTGGAATGAATCGTCTGTAGTAGTTAATTAGCCCGAGGAATCGCCGTAATTTCCTTTGTGATTCGGGCAACGGATAATCACGAATAGCTGCAACTTCTGATGGAACAGGTGTGATAGCTTGAGAATTTATTATGTGTCCTAGGAATTGCAGTGATTTCTCTCCAAATTCACATTTCTCAACGTTAATGGCGATTCTGTGTTCTTGTAGTTTATTGAACAAACGTCTTAGTTGTTGTAGATGTTCTTCCGCTGTAGCCCTAGCGACAAGTATGTCGTCGATGTATACATATACGCCTGACAAACCTCTAACAACCTGATCCATGAATCTCTGGAAGGTTTGAGCTGCATCTGTTTATCCGAATGCATTCGCCAAAATTCGAATAATCCGAATGGAGTGATTACGGCCGTTTTCGGTATATCCTCCTACGTCACAGGGATATGATAATAAGCTCTAACAAGGTCAATCTTTGAAAAGATAGTGGCACCTTCCATGTCGTTAGTAATGTCATGGATTTGTGGCACTGGATATCTATCAGCAACCGTTTGTTTATTAAGAGCTCTATAATCTCCACATGGTCTGTACTATCCATTCTTTTTCTGTACCATATGCAGCGGAGATCCCCAGGGACGACTACTCGATGGCCGTATTATACCAAGTTTCATCATTTTGTCAAATTCCTGTTTCGCAACGTTTAACCTTTTTGGGTCTAGGTGTCGTGGTCGTGCGTTACAAGGTGCACCTCTTGTTACAGTGTGATGTTGTACTGTACGTTTGAGATCAGTGTTGTCGTAAGACACTTTCGTCAAGTCAGCGTTTACCTTAGTCGATAAACGCGAACGATACTTTTACCAGCTTCCAGGAAGGCTACCTTGAATCCAAACGGTAAAACAGAAGTCTTGGTAAGCGTAGAAAGTATATTCTACAAGCACCCAGCAATCCCAGTACAATCAAGCATACAACTCTCGTTTATTTATACAACATAACAACGTCCTTGAGACAGTTAAGAAAGTAGCATACTAAAATACACTGTAGCCAATCACAGCCATTGATTTTCCTGGTGGGGATTAAAATCTCAAGGTCATTTGATCAGCCCCTGCTGGCGAAACGTAAAAACCAAAATACGGCATTATCATGCGAATTTTGGGGATCTAACATCCCCAACACTCCTCCCCTTTTTAATAGCTTGTTCTCCTGGGGTCGACTTGCATCTTGACTATTGTTCGCCGCTGTCTGAGGGGATACCTTCGGGAACGAAGAACAGCTTGCTGCTGAGTTTCTTCTCGTGGCGGGGCTCTCGGTAGGTTGAAGGTATCAAGCAAGATGTCAAGGGGAAGGCTTTCTGCTCTTGATGGGCGATCTGGGGCTAGCCGTCTGCGTATCTGATTCCGATGACGTGACCATTTATCACCTCCTACCTCTACTTCGTACATAACTCGACCAACCCTTCTGACCACTCTCGCTTCTACCCAAGGACCATGGTTCGTTCTGTAGTCGCGGGCAAACACAGGGCATCCCACCTCGTAAGCGGATTGTCTTTGCTGCTTTGTCTCTACTGATGAGGGTGCATTGGTCGGATGCATCAGGCTGTGAATCGTTTTCAATCTTCTTCCCATCAGGATTTCAGCTGGGGACTTTTGCTCCGGTAACAATTCATTTGGTGTTGTCCGATAGACGTACAAGAAATTTTGTAACGTTTCGGCTGGCGTCCCCTCCCCTTTTGACTTGAGCAGTGCTCTTTTAAACGTATCCACAAACCTTTCCGCCTGCCCATTCGATTGCGGGTGGTATGGTGGCGAGCGTAAGTGTTTAATAGCTAGCCGTTGACAGAAATTCTGGAATTGGGAAGAGGTGAATTGAGAGCCATTGTCGGATACGATCACATCTGGTATGCCATTTCGTGAGAAAATTTCAGTTAGGAGCTGTATAGTCTTAGTTGTAGTGGGCGGCATAACGGGGCTGATTTCCGGCCATTTAGAAAAGGCGTCGACGACAATTAAATACATAGTTCCATTTATTGGGCCAGCGAAGTCGACATGTATCCTGGACCAAGGATGCTCAGGTTTGGGCCATGAAACCGGCGGAATTTTGGCATTCATCTTTGCCGCCTGCTGACACCGCATGCATTTTTCAACCAACGCTGTGACATGTTGATCCATGTGAGGCCAGTATGCATAACTCCTGGCTATGGACTTCATTCGTTTAATCCCAGGATGACCAAGATGGAACTGTCTCAGCACTTTTGCACGAAGGGATGCTGGAACCACTACTCTTTCACCAAACATGAGACAATCGTTGACGATGCATAGTGAATTCCGCCGCTGATACAGTTGCTTGATGTCACCTTCAAACTTTTTCGACGGCCAACCGTTAGTGACATATTTCATCGTCATCTTGATGATGGGGTCGTTTCTAGAAGCATTTTGTATGTCTGTTGCAGACACCGGTAATGCGCGAACTGCGGTTGTCAGATAACATTCTGCGTGGTTCTTCGTATACGCTTCTGGGTCATGTCGTTGTGATACCAGGTTGCATATGGTATTTAGCGGGACATCAGCCAATTTTAGCTGGTCGAACCAATCTAAACCAAGTAAATTTAGATCAGCTGGCGTTATATAGCATACCCCAGTAAACGACGAATCTCGGAAAGCAACTTTACATTCCAATTGTCCTAACAGACGAAGATTATTACCACATGCTGTACGAGGCTTTTGTGTTGTGTGCTGCAGGCTTGGGCTGCCCAACTTGGTCCAATTTTTGCGTGAGAGGATAGTGACATCAGATGCAGTATCTATTTGCATTCTACACAAATAACCGTTAATATTAAGAGTAATAAATTTCCTCTCACCTGGTGATGAGCTTTGGCAGGAAGATATTAGGCTCAATGCATTGGTACTGGATCTAGGAACAGGCTTCTTAGCACTTCTGGATCGCTTTGGATTTTTCTGTAGGCAAAAGCCATCTTTATGACCGATGACTTTACACTTCCTGCATCTATGCTGCCTAAATGGGCAGTTCCGTACATAGTGCCATGAACCGCAGTGCCAGCAAGCAGAAGGTGGATTCATTTTGGGTTTTTGGGCTGAATTGGAGCGGGGTGAACTGGGTGTAGCATGGGCAGACTTATAATGATTAGGTGGCTGCTGTACCAAATGAATTTCAGATCGGCTTGAACTACCACTCTGAACTATAGTCGAGTCTCGTTGTAGGTCAGTGAGACGTTGGTACTCATGAGCCATATCATTAAGCGTAAGCTTTGGATCTTGCTCCAACCGACTTAGTAGCCTTGTTCTAATGTCACTGAACTTACTCGACTGGAGGCTGCAGATGAGAATGAGGGCTTTGAACTGGTCTTCCGACAAGGACTTCAACCGAAAGCGTTCGCATTCACGGTTGACGATGCCCACGTGCGTAAGAAAATCATCATCTTCGTTCATAATAAGCTTCAAACATCGATAACGAGTATTAAATAGTGACGAGTTGTCTCCAAAGTGTTGGCTTAACGTCTGAACAGTCTCAGAAAACGAACAATCTCGTGGGTTCAAATTCATTTGTTTCCTTAACAGCTCCAACATACGTTCCTGCAACTGTTCATATCGTTTACCTTGACGTTCCAGTAAAGATTCTAACTGTTCAAGGTTAATTGACATAGTGAATTGTGAGCCCCGTCGCCACTGATATGTTTTGTGGATATGGTTTTTACCCCGTCGCCACTGATATGTTCGTCACTTAGGATGCTTGATGCTATTACGAGTTTACCTTAGTCGATAAACGCGAACGATACTTCTACCAGCTTCCAGGAAGGCTACCTTGAATCCAAACGGTAAAACAGAAGTCTTGGTAAGCGTAGAAAGTATATTCTACAAGCACCCAGCAATCCCAGTACAATCAAGCATACAACTCTCGTTTATTTATACAACATAACAACGTCCTTGAGACAGTTAAGAAAATAGCATACTAAAATACACAGCAGCCAATCACAGCCATGGATTTTCCTGGTGGGAATTGAAATCTCAAGGTCATTTGATCAGCCCCTGCTGGCGAACGTGGAAAACCGAAATACGGCATTATCAAGCGAATTTTGGGGATCTAACATCCCCAACAGTTCTCTCCCGATGGTGTCTGGCCAGTGGATGCAAAGTATTTTGCGTTAAAAAAAACAGCATTAAAAACCACGTTTTTGTTTTCATTCAAAGTTTATTTATCATCAACATTGGATATTGACTTCTGTCATCTTACATTCCTCTTCACTATGCGCATTAACTGTAAATGATAGGTTTTATAGAAAACTGTTCGGGATGTTAGATCCCCAGAACTCACTTCGAAAGTGACATAATTCTGGATTTTTTATGTTTTCGCGCACAAGTCGCTTATTTGACCCTGAGCTAACATTTCCCACTCGGAAAATGCTTGAGTGTCATTGGTTGGTGGAATATTTTAGCACTCTATTTTGCGCCTCTTCCAAGGACGTTGCTATCACTGTATAAATAAGCTTGATTTGTGTGCTTGTCAACCTCATATTTATTGGGTTCCTGTAGAATGCACTCTCTACGCCTTACGAAGATTTCTTGATTTAGTTAGCCGGACCGGGGACAACGGATTAGAATAGCCCATCATGTCACTGGATCATCTGTTTTCGCTCTCGTTTAGCGAGTAAGCTGAACTCGTATTAGTTTCAAGCATATCAAGTGACGAGCATATCAGAAACAAATAGTAGGTCATACCATAGATAATCACATTAAAAGATAATTCAATCGGGATACATGCAATTGTGTGTTTTCTTAACTAAGTGGAATAATGTATGAATTTCATTTTCAGACACTAGAACACAAATGCAAGAGAAATAA